ACTGTCTATTTCCTGAATAACAAAGTGTAATTGTCGATATTCAACCATAGATAATAAAAATCACCCCAGGTCTTTTCTTTCTCGGGATCAGCAACTCTTTCTTATTGTAATCTTCAATTATTGCATGTTTGCATCGATCTGAATCTTTTCAATGGGGCGGGGGAGGTATTTTCACCAAACAATAAAATCCTATCCGCGTAGTTGTGGACAGAACCAGTTTTGGCTACTTTGAGATCAATAATACTGCATATATTTTATTCCGAATGATTGATTATAGTTCGATTTTGGGGATATTTCGAAACTTATAATTGATGACATATTAAATGGAGCAATGAATGAGAGTTTTCATTTTAAGAATGTATTATGGAGGGCAAAGTTTAGCAGTTATGTTTCTGAAATGGGTTAATTTAGTAAAGATAATACAGCATTAAAGAAGCGAATGAATTTGGTTAGTATATTTTACTATTAAATTACTAAACTTTAATTAGTCTAATAAAAAAGTCATAGATCATATATGTCCGAGTTCGAATTCCAGTCAAATCCACTGCATTCACTTACGTTCTAATACCCTTGGGAAAGGTATGAATCATTTTCTTTTCCTATCCAGCTATGGGTAAATAGCAGGACGGTCAGGATTCTATAGCCTTGGATGGCAACTGGTCTACCACAGAAAGAAATGACAATCTACTGCGAGAAAAAATTTGCCTCGTCAGTTATGTATCAAAAGATACATGATCGTCTCAGCTTGTATCACCCATGGCACATAACTGACTAAATACGGATAGAAAAACTGACTTGAATTGTTTACTCCTTTCATCAAGTCAATAACAATAAAACAAATTTATATGCATGTATGGAACAAGTATATATAAATGTTATATATCAAGAACAATTTTAGGAAAATTCATGAAAAAGTGGGAAAAAATTCCGTGTCAATAGTTTGGTCCTTTAGGGCTTAAGTGGAGTAAAGTGATATCTATGTTGATGTGATTACAGATGCACATGAAGGAGAGGGGCGCTGAGAATTTTAAATTTGAATTTTTTTAACATGCGTTTTCGGTATAGAGTCTAGCCTATTTAATTTAGTTTCTTTTTGCTTATATTTTTACCACTTTTGTTATTAAATATCGCACATTGTAATAATAGAAGATCTGCCAATAAAGGTGAAATGTTGTAAGAATCTGGATGTAAATTTACTTCGGATGATCTAGCGATCAAAGCACTTTCTATACATTTTCATCTTCGTAATTGTTTTCTCTTTTAATTAAAGTTGCATTTGCCAAATCAAAATTATGGTTAGTCTCATTACCGAGTTTGTGTTTGGCAAAAAATCCCTTTTGTGTCCATATAATCTTTTATTTAAATTACTTGTGGTGTCACCAATGTATTCCCTGTTGTAATTATTACATGTGATACAGTAAATTTATCTTACAAGTTTTAGCTTATTAATATTTTTCTCTATTAAGTTTTATATTGTTTTACAAGCAGTTGTAACGAATTTTGTGTTAAGCTTAGAAAAATTCTTTTCAACTGTAGTTGCGATAGAGTTTGGTGGGTATTAGTTGCGTTTCTCAGAATTGTCCAATCTTCTATTTTAAAAACCTTTTGTTTCATGTTGAATATGAAATACATATGGTATTTGAGGTGCTTAAAAGTATTTACAATGTATTTCACCTTTCTATGTAATCTTGGGAGCTACAAATTCTGAGTGCTCTGAAATAGAATTCAATGATTATACCGGATTTTATTTTGTTCTTATGGTGGGAATAGAAATTTATGAGATCATTATTTTTGTTGATTTGCGATGGAAACTTAGTTTTAGGTCATTGAAGTTATGGTGTATTATGTTATCTAGGAAAAGTATTGTTTGTTTCTGTCTTGTAAATTAATCCTATGGCGTGTTCGTCTTTGTTTAATTTATTTACAATTTCAGGTATAGTTGTTTTGCGGGGATATATCAATAGAGCGTCATCGGTATATTGGAACTATGTTGATTGTTAGGGTAAAATATTTTGGAAAGGACCAGTTTCAAGAAATTCTATGGTGTACATTAGAAACCCAATTAAAGAGGAAGACGTTGGTTATTCATTTTTTTTATTTATTTTTAAAGGGAAAATCGCTTTGACTAGTGATGAGTCGGCATATTTTTATGATTTTAGTGATTGCTTGGTAGAGGTTCCATTTTGGTCACAGGATGTTTTATCCAGTCACTACAATCTTGTCCTCTTCATGTTTAGGGTTAATCTTTCCTTCATATTCCCATGAACTTCACTTCTTGCCCTTTCTTACACTCATACAAATCTACATAGTAATCCTCTACCTTGAGTGGTTCTTGGGCATTGTATTAGGTGAACATTAGTATAAAAAATAATATTTTATTGTCTTTTGTCTATTATAAGGTTTGCAGTAATATAGGGACATGTTTCGATAATTTACTTTGGTGGCTGTTGCTAATGTTGTTCAAGTAAGTTATCCTTTTCGTCAAATTCTAAAGGACATTCAAGTAGTAGATTTGTGAGGCCTTAAATCTATTGCCTTTTGTTTCATAATCAATGATTTCCACATAGCTTTAATGTTTATCCTTGGACGGATGATTGGATGATAAGTGTAGAACATGTGTGCTGATTCTTTCATTTTCTGGGTTTTTTTTTAGTGGAGACCCAGTGGAACGCGTCTTTGTTTTTCTGTGATGTAAAAAAAATCAGCTGATCAACGATACTCGCTAGCTTATTTCAACGATAGCGATATTCTATCTATACAAGGCCTTAGTTGTTAGATTATGTAAACAATAGAAATAATTTCTATTGTTTACCGTGGAAACCACATCATATAAAAACAGCCTGATTTATCATAAGCCCTCAATTTTGTAATCATATGATCATCAAAGTACTGGAAGTTGTGGGGAGCCATAATCGCTTACGTCTTGAGGGGAAACCCCACCTAAAGAAAACATACGCACGTTGATTACTTGACACAGAGCAAGTTTTAGCATTGTGGTCATCCAGGAGTTGTCGAGCGAGTACAATCATAAACTGAGTGATCTAGAAATGTCATCTAGCACCCAAAATTTTTTTCAACAAATAAAGCCTATAAACACTCAGTTAGTTTCAGTTTTGCATGCCTTTAAACCACAGCCATGTATGTGTATTTTTACAGTGGAAACTCGGTTCACGAATTTAATTCGTTCCAGAATGCCGTTCGTAACCAGAAATGTTCGTAAACCGAAACTGTTTTTCCAATAGGAATCAATGTAGAAACAAAGTCACAGTACAATAAAATTAGAAAAGAAAACACAACACAAGACACGAATGTATACAACACGGCGGTCGACTCAGAAATTATTCCATCCGGGTTAAACTTGGTTCGGCAATGTTGTTCGAGAACCGAAATTTTGTTCGATAATCGAGGCAATTTCATCTCGAATATTCTGTTCGAAAACTGATTTGTTCGACATGTGAGACGTTTGAGAATAGAGGTTGCACTGTATTTCCAAAGAGAAATACGTACGTTTGTCTACCTCTGCGATATATGAACTACGTCTATTCATAATTTCTTTGTTTTATTAGCACGATTGAAAATAGCTGCCCGCTTTTAAAAAAAGTAAAGGCAGAAGACATGGTTATCAGCAAAAGAATGAGCCCAAAATGCAAATTACAAATCGGAGATATTGAACTCAAATAGGTGGAGAAATTGAAATATCTGGGAAGTGTTCTAAGAAAGTGCGACACTGAGATCCGAAGACGTATTGGGAAAGCCAAGAGACAGAAAACTTTCGTTAGAAACAAAATAAAGAGTACTGGACTGTTACGTGATATCAGTCCTCCTGTATGGCAACGAATGCTGGACAATCTCTACAAAGATGAAGAAGAGACTTGAAGCAACAGAAATGTGGTTCTACAGATAGATGCTGAGGATACCATGGACCAAACATGTAACCAAGAACGTTTTGGAGAAAATGGAAACAAAGAAAACTTATGCTTATCATCATGAAGACGCACTTGAAATTTCGAGGGTACATAATGAGGAAACATGGCTTGGAAAACCTGATATTCACAGGCCAAATTGAGGGAAAGCTGAACAGAGGAGAGCAGCGCGTAACGTACTTGATGGGCTTAAATAAAATAGATGGTAGAACATGGTTTGGGAGGAATAACGAAAAAAAAATTATTAAAAGCTACAAAGACCAGGAAGATATGGAGAGCCATGATCGCCTACGTCCTGAAGGAACACGGCACATAAAACAAAGATACCGAAGTTGAACTTCTCATTCAGCGCACAGAGAAAAATACATAAATAGCGAAGTAGTTAAAAGGCCAACACAAACAAAATCATAAGACTGCAATGTCCTCGTACACAGGCATGGCCACACGTCATTAAGTTCGTCGTTCTGACACTGTTTTCTTCTTACTCTCCGCCTTACTCTATTTTTTCACTCAATTTCACATCACAAAAATAATGAATAGAAGTGGTTTTGACAAATACACACGCTCAAGCACGTTTATATGTACACATGAGTGTGGATGTTTGTGTGTCTATCTGTAGTAATGTACAATTTGACCTCATGTAAAAATCGATCTCTAGTTTGGAGAAAAAACATCTGTATTTTCCTTAAAATCACATGTAAATGTCAATTTATTTTTACGATGAATTTATAATTGCATATAAGAGAGTAGAGGATCCTTTCGCTACTCTATAGCTATTTTCATGTTAGATGCTTGAATGATTAGTTTTTACGGCTTATCAACCCTTTACAGGTTATTTAAAGCCATAATATATTTTTAGATTATAAGAATTTTTTTTTATTTTTGAAAATAATAATGGTTTTAGTGATACAAGTCTTACTAATTAACCCCAATGATGAGTGAGGGAGAATAGTTGGATTCATACCTTTGCCAAGGGTATTTGCGCGTAAGTGAATTTAACGAACCCAACGGAAATTGGAACGGCTCTCCGATTAACAAATCGGAGCTATTATCCATAACACAACCCGCAAATCCAAGCTTACAAGACCTGGTATTCTCAAGCGGTCACCCATCTAGGTACAGGCTCACCGCTGCTTAACTTCGCTGATCGTACGGAAACCGGTATTTAATTTACCGTAAGCTTACGTGGCAGATGTTCGAATGTACTATGCTCCTTCATCTTCAGAGCTAGGACACCCCAGACCACGCACACTGAGTCGACACATCCTCTCCCACTTCATATTCCATTGATAATGAGTAAGGTTCACTCAGACAGCTTCCTCCCCAGAAATGTTGCAATGTGGAACGGGCTCCCGAGAGGATGCTTCCCGGACAACCACAATCTTAACTTCATAAAGTCTAGTTATCTATCCTAAATATCCTCTTATATACCTTTTTTCTCACAGACATGCCGTGGCTTCCCTCTGTCTCTTCTATAAGTATTTTCACGGCAACTGTTTCGACGAATTGCTTCCGCCGATTCCCAGACAGCATGAATTTAAACGTGCTACAAGGTTGGCATCTCGGTCCCACCCTTTCACTGTCAAAACTGTTAAATGTGACCGTTTCTTCTACTCAAACAGCTTCTTCTCTCGCACTTCCCGTCTGTGGAATTCCCTTCCTTTTACTTGCTTCCCAGATAACTTTAATTTTCAAATATTCAAGTGTAATGTCAATCGACATCTTCTGATACTTTGATCTTGTTCCCCGTTCTTCTCTATATCCTCTTCCCAAACACGCTACTTTACTCTTTCTCTACCCTCTGAAACCCCTTGCGTGCTAGAGGCACTCTCGCCTTGCTTGGGGTGAAATTCTTAAAAAATTAAAATTAAAAAAATTAATAAAATACACACTTTTCCATTAATCAACCTCCGATTTAAGACCACATTGGGGTCTTACTGACAACGTAAGATCTTCTTACGCTAACGGAAAATAAAATGAAACATATTGAAAGATGTTCGATGTAACATGGCGATGGTTCTGTTCTGTCAACAGTAGCCAATCAAAAATTCGTATATCTTTAGACAAGGTTATGAAAGGTGACGTATTATACTCACACGTCAAACGCATAATATAAAATGTTTGGTAACAAAGAAAAGAGTACTGAGTTGCTACATGACATCTGTCCTCCTTTACGGCAGCGAATGTTGGACGGTCTCCTCAAAGACGAAGAAGAGACTCGAGGCAACTGAGGTATGGTTCTACAGAAGGATGCTAAGGATATTATGGACCGAGCGTGTGAACAACGATGAGATTTTGGAGAGGACGCAAACAAGGAGGAAGCTTATACTTAACACCAGGAAGAGACAGCTGAAATTTTTGGGACACGTAATGAGAAAGGAGGGCCTGGAGAATCTGATACTCACAAGTCGAATACAGGGAAAGAGGGACGAGGGAAAGCAACGTATGACATACCTAGCGGGCTTAAGCAAATGGATGACAGAACATGGCCTGGGGGAAGTAGCAAACTTATTGAGAGCTACAAGGGATACGGGGAAGTGGAGAGCCATGATCGCCTACGTCCTGATGGGACACGGTATATAAAAAGAAAAAAGTGTCGGATTTCATGGCACTCACAACGTTGATCAGAACAAATAGAGCACCAGGAGTCTCAACAAGGATTGTTAAGTTTCGTTTACTTGCACCACGACACCGCGCATGCGTGTTTCTAGTTAAACAAAGACATATACTATAATATCGTTACGCACATCAAATGCGTTATCAGGAGAGAGTCAGCAGAGGTGTCGGGTGGTCCAATATAATGTTCAAAATTGAGGATAGGTTCTGCATTCATCAAAATTATGGTGATCTGCATGGACAAGATAAGCATGAGAAACGACGTCTTCCAGAGAGTATTCGCACACGATGCGCAGGCGCAACATTAACCGAGGTGTCATAAATCACAACTTTCGATCACCTTTAGTGGAGGGAACGGTATGACAGCAACATGGCGGTTCAGAACATTTGTTTAATTCGTTCCGCTATTACTGCAATATGTAGTTCCAGGTGGATAATGTCTGTCCACATGAGGCCCATGTTATTCAACATTCTCTCCGTCATGGTAAGACGATAAATTACATCCGCGTCCTGGGTAAGACGATTAACTACATCCAACAGTAAGGCCCCTGATGAGGAGGTTTTCAGTAGCGGGGAACCACCTCTTAATTTCGGGCGTTCCCAGGTCCACATTGACCCGGGGTGGCAGCAACATTCAGGGTCCCAGCTATGGTCAATTAGTTAACCCCCGAACTGGGGTCAAAGCACCATGAAAGTGTAAAAATAAGTTTTAATACCAGAAATACATTTTTGTAAAAAATTATTAACAGCAATGCTTTTGAAGAAAAATTATTACCAGAAATACATTATTACCAGCAATACATTTTTGTAAAAAAAAATATTACCAACAATATATTTTTAAAGAAAGAAAGTATTGCCAACTATCTATTTTTGGAAAAAACAAAAATATTACCAGAAATAAAAATTTTGTCGGGATTGAATAACCCATTCAGGTTAATATGCCGTGAAACACACCGAACCAAACCAACATTCTCTGCAAGACGTTGGACAACTTCGCTAGCTGACACGATCGTTAGATTTGCCCCTATTGAACATGCATGGGATGTGAGAGGAAGACACATGCCTCATTCAGGCAACCAGCCAAAACCTGTTGTATTGCGTCAGCAGGTACAAGAAGCAATGAATAATACATCGCCGGATAGTATTCTCCATTTCCATAGTCGTCCTACGAGGACAGCTTAACATTTTTTTTTTAATTTTTAAAAAGATATGCCAGAGATGAATTAGACCAGGAAACAGTAGTATTAAAAGTGCTCAATACACACAAAAAATATTATAAAATAAAAATGTAACATGCAGAGCTTTTATATTAGAAAAAAATGGAGATCAGCCGCTCACGCTACCTTGGCTTCAACCTTTCGGAATCTTCAGGCAATCCGGATTAAATAATATAATTTCATAATCAAGGTAGCGTGATCGGCTGCTCCCATATCTGTTTCATATATATATATATATATATATATATATATATATAACAAGATTGATTGAAAAGAAACGACAAGCTCTGTCTCAAACATTGTCCGTTCTTTTTAATTTAGGTAAATACTTGCTTCCTAAATATACCTATATATATATATATATATATATATATCGTCGAGACATATATATTTGTGTGTGTATGTGCGTGTTTGTGTGTGTCTGTGTGTGTGTATTGTTTAAAATATTTATTTATAAGAAGAGTGTTCTGTATATGCCCTATGTTTATATATATATATATATATATATATATATATATATATATATATATATATAGCCGTTCGTGTGTAAAAATGTCAAAATAGTACAAAAGGGGTATTTACCCTATCATCGAGACACCAACTATTCAATTATTATACATCAAATTTATCATTAAACCTATATGTACCAACTGAGCTAATAAGTTACCTAACTTAAAATACTATATATTCAAGGGTTATGAATAGCTCTTGAAGTGACCAAGAAACCCTTCGCTATATTTCTTTACTATTTGAGAGCCGAATAGAAGGTCCAAGTGACACTACATTATTAAGAAAGGACTTTGTTTTAAGGGCGGGACAGGGAAGGAGACAGAGGTGCTTTAATATTCGTCATTTGATTATTTGACCAAATTGTGGGCAGTATATCAACCGGAGAACTTCCTCATATATATATATATATATATATATATATATATATATATATATATATATATATATATATATATATATATATGTATATATATATATATATATATATATGTATATGGTGGCTTGACGATTGCGTCTAGCATGAAAGCACCTGTCGTCTCTGAGTATTGACTTCAATGTTCACTTATATTTTACACACTCTCTATCTCTGATATTGAGCACTTTATCTCATATAGCACACCTTAAGAGTATATTTCTTCATATATATATATATATATATATATATATATATATATATATATAATTATTTATTTAAAAATATGATTCCAAATTGCTACATAAGAGGTCTCATGTTTCAAAACAAGAGCCGAAAACTTCAATATAATCCTTTAAATTAAATTGAGTTGAAAGTAAAATGGGCTCCGTTCCATCTTCAAGCGAAATTTGTTGGAATAACGTATATATATATGTATATGGTGGCCTGACGATGGCGTCTAGCATGAAAGCCCCTGTCGTCTCTAAGTATTGACTTCAATGTTCACTTTTATATTTACACACGCTCTATCTCTGATATTGAGCACTTTATCCCATATAGCACACCTTAAGAGTATATTTCTTCATATACATATATATATATATATATGCACATATATATCTATGTATATATATATATATATATATATATATATATATATATATATATATATATATATATATCCGTATGCTGATTTTAAAAGTATATTTGATTTGAGATCTGCGTTAGTATATATAGAGAGGTGTCTGCATCGTCACAAAAAACAATATACGTGAACAGGTCGCCATACTACTAACATTTACTGTTTGAAACCACGTGCGTAGACTTAATTACCTGTAGATAGAGAGAGGGAAAGAAAGTTGGAAATAACGAAGTACTCCGCCAGCTTGACGCTGAGATAAAGACCTACAAACATCTCGAGATAGATGGGTAAATACATTCTTTTTGAAGCTATTAACTCGCAAATAAATATTTTTTTATAAGGTTACTGCTGTAAACACATTTCTTTACGCGCTTCTTAAATTTACAGAAATTCAAAACAAATATATATATATATATATATATATATATATATATATATATATATATATATATATATATATATATATATATATATATATTACAGGGTGCGACAGAAATACTTTATGACATTAGCTAGATGAAGAGAGCATTGCCACTAATATCTTACCATTATGTGGAGGTATTTCAGGAAATATATATATACATATATGGGAGATATTTCTAACAGAATATATATATATATATATATATATATATATATATATATATATATATATAGATAATATTAGTGGAAAATATACATACATATGAAAAATATATCTAAAAAATTCCATACATGTATATTTTCAGAAAAAAAGAATTTTTTCAAGAGGAAGGATCCAGGTAGAACTCAATGTC